AAGACCAATCTAAATATTCGAAAAGTGCAACAAGTATCCACGAGTTCGCCAAAGGGCCTTTGATTTCAATTAGGTGTATAGGGAAAAGATACTAACTAGGGTCCTTTTAGGGTGAGTGTAGCTAGGCTATGGGCTGATGGTTGGCTATGGGCTGGTTGATATGGCAACCAGACCGAGACGAGAGGTCAATCAATAAGTTAGTTTTATGTCATTATTAGAATAAGGACGCCATAGTTTGCGAGTTCGCGAGTAGTGGTATTTTGCACCTTAGACCTCTTCCCTTCAACTGATGACACAACGCACTCGTATCCGTCAGTAGAACATACTACTTACAAGTGTCTGTGTGCCTCGAGGGAGCTTGCTGTTTCTAATTAATCACGACTGAGTCTCAGTGTTAAATTTACTTGAGCAAACTCTGCTGATAGGAGTGGATTAACCAGAAAATCATCATGATCGAGATCAGTGAAGAAAGAGAAAACGTAAACCCATCTCCTTCATCCGAGAGATACGAGTTTGACGACTTACTGAGGATGGTTGGTGGACTCGGTCGCTACCCAATTCTTCTCTACTCATTCATGTGCCTCATGTCTATACCAATTGGATTTTCGCAGCTTGTACAAGTCTTCTACGGAGCAACGCCACTATTTGAGTGTGCAGACCGCGCAGATAAGCAATGGATGACGTCTAATGACACTTGTGGAGCGAGTAAATGTTGTACAAACTGTACACGGTATGAATTCAAAGGGCAATTCACCAGCGCTGTTTCTGAGGTATTTGATTTACGAGTTTACACTTGTACGCTTCACTAGTTGTACTGCCGAGTCGAGAAGCTTCAATTGCTTTGCATATACTACATATTAACTGTGTTATTATGATTGTGTAGAACTTGGTCGGTAAAAATTGGGCGATTTTAAAAACAAGTTGATTAAAATAATTGCGTTTTTTAGCTTAAAGGGCGTAATAACTTTATTTGTCGAGGCAATTCTTTCAAAAGTGTAAGGTCTTAAAAAAGCYATAACACAATCAATTAAAAAGAAAATCATAACCAATTTGTTAGAGCAGTTCCAAAAATGCATGGTCCAAGTTATCGTCCAGAAGTGTGCGATAATTTAATGATCTTGCTTACATCTCGGCACGTTTATGAAATTACAAATACCAAAAATACCAAAAATCAAACAAACAAACGACATTTCAAAGTGAGTGACAGCGATGTATTTATTTATTTACATTGAAAACACATTGACACAAAAAGATAAAATGCCGGAGAAGGTAGAGAAACACTACCCTTTTTGAGTTGTCAAAGGACACAATTAAGACCTCAACAAAAAAATATATTTCCAAATTCAAGATTTTTCGCGCGTGCGATTTTTCTTGGCTAAAGAGTGATAATTTGTCAACATATCGGATCAGACATGACTCAGTTCGTCTCGACGGAAATTGCTAATATCTTAAGTCCTTGGTTTGAGTGCCCTCATTAATACTGAACAATGACATGTCACGATATCAATTTTTTTTGCATTTCTATTAAAGGGGCACTTGGATGAAAACGCCCCGATTTTTGAAAGTCCAAATAATTGAAGTATTTGAGGATAATATGACTCAACTATGATTATGTAAACCAGAAATGTTAGCCTGGGAGCCACTTGCAGTTGAGATATTTTGGATTAAAAGCGAAAAGAACAATAGGGTTGATTAAATGCCGTCATTTACTCACAATTTAGATGCTGAATAAAATTGATAACTTTTTCCCGCCACTTTTGACTGTGAAGGAAATATGTGCTTGGCTACTATCTGGGCCATATAGATAAGTTTAAACAAGTTTCAAGTCATGTGCAATTTTTATTGATTTTCATCCAAGAGTCCCTTTAAAGACAAGTTTTCGTCATAGACGACTTACAAAATATCATGGACGCGAGGCTAACATGAAAATATAAAACTAATGGCACAAATTTCATAGAGAAAAAGTATGACAATATTACAGTGTGTGTGTGTGTGTGTATGTGTGTGTGTGTGTGTGTGTGAGTGTGTGTGTGTGACGTTTTAATAAGTAAGTTTTAGTTTGCATATCCTGAATCGTAAAACGTTCTACTGCAACATCTCGAAACGTCCACATCTTGAAACTTATGAAACTTATGTCATTTGACTCCCACTACCAAAATGCTTCGCGAATTTTCTTTCTTATTTAAATTAGTATTCCCTCATGAGAATATTAATACAATTGGTGCTGATTAACTGAACAAAAGAAAGTATACAAGGGAGTCTGGTAGTAGAGCTAATAATATTAGAGGTATTAAAAAAAGGTTTGGTTGAAGGGTATGTTGATGGCACTTCGAATAGGTATTACATAACAACTTACATATGGATCAGTCGTTGCTTAACTTTTTCTTAGATGGAAAACAAAGATGTTTCAGTTCGGTAGTTCAAGAAAGGTTCCATTCCGGCAGTGAGCGCAGAGAGGGAGGTTATATTTTCTTTTTTTTGTGTGTGTGTGATGATATCTACTGAACTTTTAATGGGCTTTATTTACGACGCAGCAATGTTTATTCTCATGAGAATAAAAATCTTTGTTTAACTAGCATAAAATTATTCTTAAGCACTCGTTTAATGCGAGGCTAAGCGTGGAGCTCGAATACTCTATTGTTCCAGTCAACATGGCTGCTGCTTGATTGAAGGCCTATTCTCAGCTCTCATGTTTAGTCTCACACATACTAGTCTACTATACCATGCTCTATACCTCTACCCCCTCCCCCAAGTGTGCTTTGCGCGGTCTTTGCGCATTAATACTGCACTTGAAACTCCTGTAATACGTACTCCTRAAGACCTCCCTTCACCTTACAGATGTTATCAGCTAAGTAGTCCCCTTCACAATTCCCTGCGCCATCTTGAAAGATAGTAAGGCCTCATCTAATTGACCTTTTTATCTTTTCGTTGTCAGTGGCATCTGATATGCGATCAGTCACATCTCAAGGCTATGACCCAGGCTGTCTACATGGTAGGGCTCTTGGTTGGCTCCATAACATTTGGATGGATTTCGGACAAGTTTGGACGTCATATCTCCGTTTTTATGAGCATTTTTCTACTGGTAAGATATATGCGCATTTAATGGCAAGCAAGACTGTGGCGTTGCACCGAGGTAGTGCACTCACCTCTCATCTCTGGGGATCTTGTATTAAATTCGTGCAATCCCCTGCGACAAGAGTTTGTTAGGTCTCTGGGTTCTCCGGTTTTCCTCCCTCCGCCGCAAAACCCACTCAAACTAAATTCCAATCCGATCTGTGGGTTAGCCGTGCCCTGACTTATATCAGCCCATACACCAGGTTAATTCTTAATTCCTTACAGGCACTCTGTGGTATTGTGTCCGGTGTAGCTGACTGTCTTTCACTTTTCGCCTTGTTTCGTTTCGGTTCTGGTGCTGCATGTGCCGGCTGTCTGATCTCCCGTTACGTCTACTGTGTAGAGTTGGTAGTGACGAAGCATCGTACAGCTGCAGGGTTCATCAGCAACATCTTTGTTAGCGTTGGCTTCAACTTGCTGGCGTTGTTGGCGTATCTGATCAGAGACTGGAGGCACTTGATGCTGGCTTGTTCCATCCCAGCAGCTCCGCTTCTTTTGTTTTGGTGGTAAGTCAGTATTCATGGACTCAGTGGTTCGCGCAACGCGAGATTGTGAATTTGAACAACTAAAAATTGTCATGCRCAATCATTCATAGAGTATAGGAATCGATCTAAAACATGCAAAACGATCACAATAGGCCGTTTGCATGATGGCGTCATTTTACTGCCACTACCATAAGGCTTGGCGAATTTTCTGTATTATTTAAATTACTGCTAATAACAAAGGAAATGAAGTGTTCAAGGGATTCTGGTAGTGGTAGTAATGACGCCATAATGTAAGTGTCCTATTATTTTCAAGCTTTTTCAAACCTTTAAATTTTATCGATACCCTTAAACGACCTCTGGGCTGATCTAAGTCAGAGCACGGCTAACTCAYAGATCGAAATTAACCCTGAAACAACCCCTGGGCTGATCTAAGTCAGGGAACGCCTAACTCACAGATTAAACCCTGAAACAACCTCTGGACTGATCTAAGTCAGGGCATGGCTAACTCACAGATTGAACCCTGAAACAACCTCTGGGCTGATCTAAGTCAGAGCATGGCTAACTCAAAGATCGAACCCTGAAACAACCTCTGGGCTGATCTAAGTCACGGCACGGCTAACTCACAGATCAAACCCTGAAACAACCTCTGGGCTGGTCTAAGTCAGAGCATGGCTAACTCAAAGATCGAACCCTGAAACAACCTCTGGGCTGATCTAAGTCAGGGCACGCCTAACTCACAGATCAAACCCTGAAACAACCTCTGGGCTGATCTAAGTCAGGGCATAGCTAACTCACAGATCGAACCCTGAAACAACCTTTGGGCTGATCTAAGTCAGGGCACGCCTAACTCACAGATCGAACCCTGAAACAACCTCTGGGCTGATCTAAGTCAGGGCATAGCTAACTCACAGACCGAACCCTGAAACAACCTCTTGGCTGATCTAAGGTAAGACAGGGCACGGTTAATCCACAGATCGAACCCTGAATCCGGAATAGACTAGTCCTAACAAACTCTATTCACATGAGAAAGTCCAGGAATCAAATCTGAGACCCCAGAGATGAGAGGCGAGTGTAATTAGTCCTCTATGCTACCCTTAATTGATTTCCGTCAAAGTAGTGGTAAACTGGAATTCACCCAATTATTACAGGTACATTCCCGAGTCTCCACGCTGGCTTGTCGCACAGAACCGACTCGACGAAGCGCATGAGCTTCTCTTAAAGTTTGCTGACAAAAATGGAGTGAGCGTGGACCCGCAACGTCTGAAGCACGCCATACGAGAAGTAAAAAAAGCTGATATGCGCAAAGATAACTCAAAGAAATATGGAGTTCTGGATCTGGTCAGGACTTTGAAGCTGAGAAAGAGAACCATTATTTGTTGCTGTAATTGGTAATTTTTCATTTTCATTTGAGAAAATTAATTAGTTTATAAATACTTCCAGCTATGTAACACAGGATACTTCATACCACACACTGAACTAATCTCAGAGTTTTGTTACTACTGTCTACAGGTTTGTCAACGCTCTTGTATTTTTTGGCATCAACTTGAACGTCAAGAACCTTGGCGGAGATATGTACTTCAATTTCTTCATTCTGAACATCATTGAAATCCCTGCTCTGTTGTTCTGCTGGCTGTTGCTTGCAAAGTAAGGGGCAAAGAGTAGGCTTTCACGGCAGCCATGTATCGTTGTAAGGCAGCATTGCATTAGAAATTTTCTCCTGTGGAAACGAATGCAAAACATTGTATGCTTGTCGACCCGCAAAGTGCATGGCATACATGAGTCCTAGTTACTGCTTTTTACTCCTATGAAAAGGAGTCGTTATGAGGAGTTCAATTATGTCAACATCTTAGAAGTTTTCTCCTTATTTTGAGAAATGAAATGTAACCTCTTGTCATTTACAAAACATGCACTGTTGCTGCTCTCCAACATGGCTTCCCAGTAACCAGGCGCTCTGTTGCACAAATTTACTTTAGTATATGCTGATTACGGTGAGAAATTACGAATGAATGAATGAATAAAAGTGAATGCATAGATGAACAAATGAAGTGGAAGGAATGAATAGTGAAAGCAAACAAAGAAGTAAACGAATGGATGAAAAAAAGAACAGGTAAATTAGCTAGTTAATATTGATCGGGTATTTTGATCGATGTCTTTTCTTTATAGGTCAGGTCGGCGCATACCCTATAGCTGTTTAATGCTGACCAGTGGGATTGCAGGCATGCTTGTCTTGGCTTTCCCGGCAACAGAACGTAAGAGTAACTCATTAATTCTTACCTAACTTAAACTGCTTAATTTAAGGCTCTGCGCAACAAGAGGAGCTCATGGCCAGCATTATATTCATTTATTCATTCAGTATTCTTAACCTTTTTCCAGTGTGAATAGACAAAAACAGAAAGGAGTTGGAGCAATTGAGCACTTTTTTTGTGGCGTGGGGACAAGGAAATGCGCTCTGGGTAGACAGTAGTCGAAGTACCATATTAAGAAAATCATAACAATATAGAGAGAAATTACTGAGAAACCGAGAGTAARAGTTATTTAGATAAAATTTTCACAGGCAGCATTTCAAATTAGGAAAGCACAGCTCGATTGGTTTGATCGCCAATCCTTGATTGTGAACGTACAATTTCTAATTCTGTCTTTACAGAATATCGATATGGAATTCTCGTTCTGGCTTTGATTGGTAAGATGAGTATCGTGTCAACGTTTGTTGCCATCTACGTTTATACAGTAGAACTCTATCCAACTCTTATCAGGTAAGAGAATAACAATTAAGTGTGCATCCTCGGGAAATTGTCTTGTGGCCGCTAAATAGAGGATGGTCGCTTAATAGAGGTATAACTCTATTAAACTCTCTTTGGGACTTTGACAACTGGCCACTAATTAGAGGTTGGTCGTCGCTCGCTAGGTGGCCACTTCGTATATTGATCGGTTGCAATGCAAGTATATCCCGAACTTCTGACGTCTTTTTACTACTGAGTTCATACAGATATATATCCGATGTTCTTTCCAGTGTTACTGATATTCATTTCTTAAAATTTATTATTTTCTTTGATATAATTTTTTTGAATTTACAGAAACACTGGTATTGGTACAGCGTCAATGATGGCTCGCTTTGGTGGAATCGCTGCTCCATACATTGTGCTCTTGGTAAGCCACGAACAGAGGCTTCTTAATTAACGGGGTTGAGCGGAATTTGTATTGCATTGCGGGTCTGCCCCAGGGGACATATTTCCAAGATGGCGTCTATTTCGTCCCCTAAAACAGCCCCACAATGCACTGCAGTGCCAACTCGACCCAGTTTTTCCCTCAACCTCGGAACGGCTAATTTTGTGCGCAGTATCAGTCTCTTACCCAGAGCTCCTTGCTTTCCTCCCCCGAAGCATTCTCATACCCAGACCATACTTCATAGCGAAATCGTAGGCTAATGAGTAGGGTCTTGGTACGAGAACCGACGTCCCTAAAGCGGAACGAAACAGGGGGTCTGGATACGACACTGAGAAAACTCTTCAAAATAAAATCCATAAAGCTCAAGAATTGGCGCCGGCGCATAACGTTTCTCATCAACGATAGAAGAGTTTAATCTAAATTAGTCGTTTTCCAAAACTATCAGTTGCTTAAGATTGGCTACCGTACGGTACGACGGAATAGCGACCGCTTTGGCTTTTCGCACGGTTTATTTTTTAACCTCCAGTAGTTTCATAAGATACTTGAGAGAGTAGTAGTGTTTTTCACGTTTTTCCACAGGCCGATCTCCCCAACATCGACAAAACTTTACCTTTGGTGATATTTGGCATACTCGCGGTCGCCGCGGGAATATTATCTTTATGGCTACCAGAAACCCTGTACACCCCGATGGCACAGACCGTGGAACAAACAGAGGAATGGCAAGAAGACTATGAGATTTACTGCTGTAAGAGAGGCGGAGAGACGGCGGAACCTCAGATTTTWAGTCTGAAATATCACGTGCCTGAGAATGGAGAGGCTGGTCATGAGATGATAGCCGAGGACACGGAGTCACTCGATCATGACCATATGATTGTTGAATGATTCTGCATCACAGTCCACTATGTATGCTGCGCCCGTCTCCCCCGTATTTTAGTTTGCCATTCTATGTAATATAGTTCCATCCCTCTAGCAGTTGAGGAAATCCCGTGGGCGGGGGAGGGGGGGTTAGGGATAGGATCAATTCAAGGATCCATTTTATATTAACGCAAGCAGATTATAATCTTATGCCTACCCTACCCAGACGTTCATATATAAAATACTTATTGATCTCTGATCTTTACGCGATGAGTTTATTGTATAAATAACAACAACAAAATTGACAAAGAATGAAAATTGCAGTTAAAATTTGATGATAAATAAAGGCCACTGACATGCAAATGGAAAATACGAAAGGATAAATGAATGAATCAGAAACAAATGAATGCACGAGAGGGAAAAAATAAATAAATTTTATCTGAATTGAACCTACCTTTACTTTAGGTTTGATTCGCAGGGTTAATGTCGTGAAGTACTGCTGGAGTAGACTCTTCATTAAATCAGCTCACGTGACCTGAATATGACGTCACACGTGACCCAACATTCAATGGAAACAGTAATGATGAAAAGGTAAATTATACACCGTGAAAAGATGAAAAAACTTACTGACGTTTCGGACGCTAGTCCTTCGTCGGAGTAAAAGAGAAAGAGGTGGTAGAAAGGAGTGTATATATGATAGAATAAGACAAAAGAAACCAATGAGAGCAAGGTAGGCAAGGAAACAAAAACAAACAATCAAAAGACAAAAGAAAAGGTTAGTTGAAAGTAAAGCGTTCATTAATCCCATTGGGACTAAGAGTGCCCAATAGGTGAATAAGCCGCATTTCTTTGGTCTTGCGACAATCATTGTTGCCGTTAATCAAAGAAAGACCGAAAACAATGAAGTCAGAAAGAGAATGGTTAGCTAGATTAAAATGGCGGGAAAAAAATTGATTTTTTAAAAAAGCAATTAGCATGAAATTACTAGTTATGAATAATAGAACACAAATTATGTGCTAAAAGCTGCAAATTAGGCGTAAATTGTTTTTTCGAYCCATTAAACCGAAGTCCAGTTCAGTCCAGCCATGTTCGGTTCCAGATTTTCCGAAATAAAAAAAGCCTCAAAATCTAAGGATCTAGAAGAATAAATCAAGTTTTGAAAGTTGGGTATGTYTTTGCTATACATTATGATTATCTATACCCTTTCAAAAGTCGAAAATCCAAATATTTTTTCYCATTCAATCACTTACCATTCATTGTAGAGATGTCTTTGTACCATCTAATCCCCTTTCCAAAATTGGATAAACTGGGAATGAGTCCTTAAAATGTTTAAAACACGTTTGTCCCATCTTCGGAAGGCTTTTCTTTACATATCATTGAAAAATGTTTGCCCAATGTAGAATAATTTACTGAGCTAGTTTCGCATCTGTGACGTCACATCATGGCAAGAGGGATTTATTTTAGACTAAATTTCGTAATTTCTTACAGAAATATATTAACCTTCGCCCTCACCTTCCTTCTACGTGCTCTCTGTCACGTATGACAAAAAATATTTTTTATAGGTAATAAAAATTCGACAGGTATTAATCTTTTGGTGTTTGGGTTCCCTGTCGTTAGGCTGGCCGTGGGTAAGTCCAGTAATATACCACGTGATATATTGTTGTATTGAAGAAGAAAAATGGCGGATATTTGATCTCAAAGACTTTCAAAATATCCAAAGATTGTCCTTTTACTCTCCAACGAACATGAAAAACCAAACAACCCTAGGTGCTATCATCCCGTGAGACGGTTCAATGGATACCAGGGACATTCTCGCACAACTTTTGTCGTCTGAGGACAGCATTTCTTCAACAGGAACGCTGGGCGCTGACGGTCAACCTGTCAAGAAAGACCTATCGACTCACATTGAAGACAACTTGTCCAGGCTTTTTGAGTGTCTGAAACTAGAATATGGAAGGTAGCTGCTTTGTCGTAGTATCCCTGGACTATTAAAAAAGAATTGAACCAAGGGTTTTGCTATTTTGTTGGAAAATCCTATTCCCATTTACCATGACTATGTTTTTGCAAACAGCATCAGGAAATACGTCAACATTACATTTTGTATCTCAGTAAAAGCTATTGTTTACCGTAATATTTAGTCAATATAGAAGCATGAATGGATTTCAGTTGTTAACATGTTAGTAGTTATTCAGTTTTTTTGAATAATAGTCTAGAGTTTATTTTTTATATAAAAACAATTAACTTATGTGCTATGGTCCTGTCTACAGACGAATTTTGGTGTCCCCAAAATGGAAAAACTTTGGCAGTCAGAAGTTACAGCTTTCAGAAAAAACTCGTTTGAACAATGCTATCTGGAGATGTTGGCATATACAATGTAAGTAGGGCAACAGGATTAGATTGAATTAATTGAACTTGATTTCTGAACTTTTTTAATTTTAATAAAAAACTCGTTGGAACAATGCCTTTTCATTTTTGAGATGTTGGCATATACAAATGTAGAATGTAAGTAGAGAAACAGGATTTGATTGAATATGATTTCTGAACTTTTTTGATTTTGATAATTTTATTCTTCAAACTATTAGCATTGTTCTGGACCGACTTACCTCTCATACATGTGGACACTTGTGTTTCCACTTGAACACAAGGCTAGTCAGTCCAGATTTCAATTCGGTGTATTGGCTAGCAATTTTTACTTGTTATGGTCTGGTGGATTTTCACTAAGGTTGAGCACTGYGGTTACAATTAATTGTTTTTTGTTTTTTTTTTATAGATCAGAAGAACAAAAAACCACTGTTTTGTCAGTTCGTGTCACCACTATCGTCGGAGGAGAGGGAACCCCCAAAGAAACCACTGGTGAGAAGGCTTTTTTTTTTCAGCTAAATTATGCCTAGAAAAGTGCTAATTTATTGATTCTCCAGGGATAAGAGAAATGGAATCTCCAGTACAGTATATTCTGAAAACACCATCCACACTTCTGCATTTTTACATGATTTTTGGTGAAGAAGCTACAAGCCTGTCCTCTCTTTTTTCAAGATTTTTTTGTTTTTGTTATACACTATGATCTTACCAAATTTCTAGAATAAGAATTATGCATCCATAACAACAAAAATAGCAACGGCAAAAAAGGTTTGAGTAAACACAAGATCCATTTCAGCTATTACTGGTTATGAATGAATGGTGTGATATATTTGCTGATGTTCTTCATTGTTGCATGTTCATAGGCCCATTCTGCTTGAGCATAACAGGTCTTTTAGATAAGTAGGTGGCTGCTGGAGCTGCAGGGATTGAAATAGTGGTGTGGCAGGTTTGGCAGGCAAAAATAACAATGCACTGCCAAATATATAATAAAATGGCAATAAAAATTTACTGGAATAACCTCCTTTATCTATTATGGCAGGCTGCAATTTTTTTCCATTTCGAGCCCTGAGCTGGCAATAATTTTGAAGATAACTAAATTGCCAGCTACTTTTTAATTCTATAAAATATCTTCTGTTCCTTGTACTGATCACAGTCTTTTGACCACCTACTCCAGACATTCTGAAAGCTTGAACTTCAGACCATGTGTCATTCCTTTGAGCATTAATTCCATTTGTAATTCATGCTTGATGAAATACTTCAATATGGAAGATACTTATTTATTTGGCTATTTATTTCCACAGGCGATAATCCTTCAGGGTCGATACTGGAGAAGAAAACTTGATGCCATAGCCAGGGAATACCAGAAATGGAGAACATACTACAAGCAAAAGGTAACATATATAGGAAGTGTCAGATGGTTTGAGAATAGGAGATAAAAGTTCATATTAAGAAAAATGCTTCAAGACTTGTGTTAATCGAAACTCTATATAGATTGTGCTTGGAGAATTTCACTTCATACCAGAACATTTTATGCTTTACCCAACTTTTTTCTTCAAAGTTGCAACAGTTGAAGTTAGTGAATATATATTCGAGGAGAACCAGAAACCCAATTGTTTGGAAGTCAAACAAACAAGACAATGGATCTGAACTAATTCAGTCTATATTCTTGTCTAGTCTCAGGAGGCTGAGGAAGAAGCACAACAAGAGAGATTACGGTATGATTTTTATTCAGTCATCTTTCCTTGGACAAGATGAACAATGACCTGTGTGATGTTTTATCCATGCCATGTACAAGGGCGGATCCAGCCAAAATTTTAGGGGGGGGGGGGGACTAATTGAGTTTCTTCCGTCAACACAACGGAAAACAATATAAAAAAGCATTGTTTTTTCTGCTGAAGGGGGGACTTCAGCCCCCCTTTGCCCCCCTGGATCCGCCCTTGATGTACCATTATTGTTCACAGTTATTATATTAACAATTTACATAAGTTCATGTGGTTGGAACTAAAATCTCGTCTTGAATCAATAGTAATTATAAGATGGGTAAAAATAAAGTATTACGTGGTTGATACAAAACATATATAGTAATTGTTTCTTTCTATTTATAGTACTTTAAGTACGAGTAGTGGAGATGATGAGGTGTCTCATGGCTCGCCAATGACACAAGTAGTAAATCTTATGGATATGCAGCTTACTACAGGTAAGATTGCTGGATGACATTGGCAATGATGATGGTACGTGATGGTGGTGGTGGTGGTGGTGATGGATGATGATAATGGTGATGATGATGATGATGATGATGATAAAGATGATGATGATGATTAGATGATGAAAAGGATGATGGTGATAATGATGATGATGATTAGATGATGAAAAGGATGATGGTGATAATGATGATGATAAAGATGATGATGATGGTAAAGATGATGATGATGATTAGATGGTGAAAATGATGATGGTGATAATGACGATGATAAAGATGATGATGATGATAAAGATGATGATGATGATAAAGATGATAATGATAATAATAATGAAAATAATGGAGTTAATAAAGTTTTAACAATGATTATTATTTGGATGATGATGATGATAATGAAGATGATAAAGATGTTGATGATGATGATTATTTTGATGACAATGCAACTAGTGGTAATCCCTTGTAGCTTGACATCAAAGCATTACAGTGAAACCTGGTTGTGTTATGTTCAAATGAGAAAAGTACTATTTTTCACATCCTACACTCTATTTTTTTTCCAGATAACATGGTTCACTCGCATCCAGATACACTCTTCACCACCAAAACAGCAGTCAGGTCACAAGCAAAAGAAACAATTCCTGAGGCTTCAATATCTGGTCAGTCTCCTTCAAGAACTTTTATTATCTACAGTATTTTCTATAAATGACCCACAATATTCCCAATCTGCCATAGTGGATGTGATAAAAGTTGAGGCAAACAACAATCAGTATTGTTATATACCAACATTTCACTGCTTCCTGGTAACCATTCTGAGTGGGCAATGTTATGTAAACTATATGTTTCCTGGGAATAACAATACTGGAAGTAATTTCACCAGTGTTTTTCTAAGTTTTCAAAAATCAAATGATCAAAAAGTCAAAAAGTTGCTTTTTGTTCTTTAGCACTTGGTATATAACAAAACATATATTGACTGGAAAGCAGTGTGTTTTGTGGTCCCTCCACAACAATCATCCACAGACATTTTGGGACCACAAAACACACTGTTTCCCTCAGTAGTGGCGTATGTAAGTAGAGCAAATGATTATCAAAAATACAACAAAAACTAACTCAAGTTTTGAGTTCTTTTTGACACTTAAAAACAAGTAAAACAATATCTAGAATTAGAGGCTGAGACTTACCACACTCAATGATGTTAGTAAAAGAGCAGGACTTTATTGAAAATCTCACTGAATAAAGCCTGGGGGGGGGGGGGGG